GTTTAGGGTTTATAGGGCTTAAGGAGAGGAGGGGCCTAGGGTTGAAGGGTTTCGGGCTCGGTAAGGGTTTAGGGTTTAGGGCAAAAAGGGCTCAGTAAGGCTTTGCGGGCTTCTCTGCGAAAGGTGATAGGGTTTCAAGCCTTGTGGGTCTAAACCCCGAAGACAATAACAATAAAGGAAAATACTTCCTATTGAGGCTTATTACTGTGGACAGGGTTGTGGGTGTTTAGACCGGCCCTCAACTACTGTATCCTTCCGGAGGCTGTGCTTTGCCTGTGGGGTTTGAGTGTCTTTGGTTCTTGCGTGCGTGTGGTTGGGGATGTATTGGGAAGGTGCGGTGCGGGTTTGGCAGGACTGGGCTGCCTTGTCCTGGGCAACATAGTCTTTTCCTCTAAGAACCACACCAAAAACCCTTATCCTTATTTCGGCCTTATGCTGACCTTGTGTTGATCCGTTTCCGGCCACATGTTGATTCTCTCTTGACCTTTAATTTGTCGTTTGAACTTCTTGGTCATGTCTGCGGAAACCACGGGAACGCTTATTTGACGTTCTTTCGTGTTTGATTTTAGGTCGTCCTGCTTCTTGGCCTTCGGAAGCCCTTCATATCTGCCTTGCTATGACCTTCTTTGCGGGCCCTTTTGGCTCCTTCTTGTGACAATCGGTTTTCAAAAGCCCGTATATATTGTTACTATTAGTATAATCATAGTTATCATTTTGATATAGTTTCGGCATTGATTTGTACTTTTCGGCGGGCCTTCTTGCTCCTCTCTGCAAAAAACCATAGGCATAGCAATACCTGGACCCCTGATATCTGGTGACCCGATGTCGGCTTTCACAAGGACTTATTTAGTAGACGATTTGCCAGCAGCGAAAGGTGGACTCGACGCGGTTTGGGGCTGAAATCTGTCAAGGTCACACATAAGCGTTAACAGGCTTTAACAGGTCTCAACATGGTCTGACATGCTTTGTTTGAGGCCCTCACGTCTGGCCCCAGGTTCACCAAGGCTTACTTTCTACAGGGAGTGTTCGACTAGGGGGGCTAGCAGCTACGGGCTTATGGTTTAGTCAAAACATCTGCCTCAATCCCGGGACTCTGCGCAACACATCGTGAGGCCCGGAGGAGGCAGCTTCAGCAGGGCGCCGCTGCGTTGGCACTTTGAGACTTTGAAGCTGCAGGGCACCCATGTTTTTTGGGTTTGGCAGTCGCTTTGCGTGTGCTTGGCCACATCCTAGCTGCCACTGCTCTTGTAATGGCTGTTGCCAGTATCACGACGAGTATGTGATAAGTTTAGGCATCAGAACGCCCATGCTAGGGGCACCCGGCAGATGCAGTCCCACCGCAACTTTGCAAAGAGATCACACGTACTTGTAGCACAGGGTTCCATTCAGAGTTCAGGTGCCGCACTGACCTGAGCTGCTGAGCTCTGGCCAGTAGAACTAATTCGGGGCAGGAGTTCCACAACTGCCGGAAACGGTGATTGTTGTGGGGTAATTATCGGGGCACATGTTGGGGCTTGCAGGAACGAGGACCGAGCATCTCGCGGGGCCTGCCACAAAAAAAGCGAGACTTTGCCATCCGGTCCCGAGCTGTGGCTGCGAGATGACGCAAGACATGCATATTTTTGTTCTCAGCTGTCGCAGGCCACATCCACTTCTCCTTCTGATTTGCGCAGTTGCCCGGGCCCAGCTCTGTTCGATGTCCTGAGAGGGATTTCAACTTGCGCCCACTGGGGATTGACGTTAAGCACACTGCACAACAGGAGGCCCCATGTGCCGAACTGCAAGTGAAGCCAGGGGCACGCACGAGAGCTTTGCTTGTTCAGCTTGCTAGAAAAAATTAGCAACTGGCTGCTTGTGCTCTTGGCTTCACAACGTCTGGTTAGTGTGCATCTGAGATTTTACGTTCACTTCTTGCCTCGCTGCTCGCAAGCCAAGCCTGCAGCAGCTGCAAAGACCAGCAGAGAGTGCTCGAAGCCGCCGTTTGAGCTGACCAAGCCTTCAGAATCTCAGAGTCGGAGCACGACGACGGTTGGATGCCTCGAAGCCTTCAACACCTGCGCAGGTGGCGAAGAACCTCGGCTGCAGGCATCCCGTCCGGGACGCAGAGCCGTGGCTCCATGAGTTTTCAACAGGGCCCTGCTGCCCATTGGTAAACATGAAGAGGTGATCCGCTGTGGTGCAATTTCCCAATAGAGTAACCCCTCAAAATTTGGAAACCGGATTAAGGCCAAATTATAGTGCTGGAATTCCCTATACCTTAGTAAGGATTGAGGCTATTACATCCGAGAAGGCGGATGCTCTCGACGCTACCGCGTAAGACCGTCAACCCTCAGCTCTGAAAAGGTCAGGTCAACCACTTACTGTTAGGCAATGGCAAACCTAACGGGCCTGCCCTGCTGCGCAGCAAGCTTGTTTCGGGTGAGCGATTGGTGTTCGAGCCTGCACTCCGTGATGGGGTCTCGGTCATCTATGAGACATGCTCGCGTCGCTCAGGTCTGTGCTGATGCTTCCAAGTCTTACGGCTTCCTTCATCGTTTGGATCGGTTTACCTCAGGCCCCGGTGGGATGGAGAAAAGACTGCTTGTCTGTACAGGTTCATCGTCGTTACAGGGGCTCGAATTTCGAATCAAAGCAGAGGAGGAGCCTTGCAGCCGCAGGAGCCTGAAATCTAAACAAAAACATAATGCAAAGCCAGACAAGCAATGTCATCTATGTCCCTCTACTGTTTAATTATAAGATTAGATTTCCGGATGTCCCGAGCGCGTAGCCTTGTTACGGAGGGGGAGTTGAGGCACATCACGTTTTGTTGAAATACAGCTGTCCAGGCGGACGCAACATGGCTTTCCCCCATGTAAACGCCGCATCAGCAAGGTTGCCTCCACTAGGAAAACACATGCCAACCAAGCCATTCCCCATGTAGACGCTCGACTTGGGAAGCACTTGTGCAAGACACACGTCGGTGGTACATCAGAACTAGCTTTTCCTGGTGTTTACTCTCGCTTTCACAAGCACACACTCAAGACAAACATCAGGGGTATCACAGCACAACCAAACCAACCATTCCCCAAGTAGACGCTCAATCTGAGAAGCACCCGCGAAAGACACGCATCGGTGGAATCATAACACATTGTAGACGCTCAATTTCACAGGTTCACACCGCCAGCTACTCTTTCTGTGGCCATGATGGCCACGACGGTCACCACAACTACTGACAAAGCTGAATGCTTCTGCTTCTGCTTGCTGCTGCTGCTGCTACTACTACTACTGCTACGACTAC